TAGGAATTGACCTACCAGAACTTTTAACTATTATAAGAATAACTTTCATGCTTTTCTTCATCAACATCTTGTTTTCAACCAGTACCATATAAAATTCTCCTATCTGTTCCTTCCTTCTGACTAAAGCCAATTCAAATAGAAGATACTGAAACGTTTGAGATTGTTGTTTGCCACACAAGAATTTAGTTGGCACTTGGCAGTTAAAAGAATCTGGGTAATGATTATCGTCAAGGCCTTTGACAGCTGAACCAAACTGCCTTCTTCTAGGTTATTACTATTTATCGTCAGTGATATTTTGGCTGTTATTCATTGCCATCAATATCATATCAAGGTTTATTGCTGGTCTTCACTATGACTTATTGAATTACCTCTCCATGATTACGATATAAAACAATATAGAGATCAAATTTTAGCAGAAACAGATGATAAAAGTTCTATTAAAGGGTCTCTCTCAACTGATGAAGCTACTACTTCATAGAATTACAAATCCATTGCTCAGTTCATTCTTCTCAAAGCACCATTTCAAACACAATCATTTCAAACATAACAGGAAAAAAACAGATTCCCTCCAAACCAAATGTACAAAGGTTACACATAGAACAAAATAAATTAATCCATTAATGAGTACTTGTTCTACAAAAAGCACCTGTAGTGCCATCTTTGTTAAGACAGCGGAAAATAAACTTGTTCCAGTAGTAATTGACTGCCTAACAACAACAGGATCATCATGTTTTAAAAACGACAGCAAGTTCGGCATCAATAAAGACAATTCCTCCATCGCATTCGAACCAATCTCCTTCAATATACTGACAAGAAAAACACAATAGTGAGTTGCATTCAAAAACAAAAAATAAAACATTGATAAATATATAGATTATGAACTACAATTATTGCAGGAAACAGAATTCCTGACTGGAAATGCCCGGATCATTATGTGATTGTCAAGTTGTGAAAGATCTACAACTGAAAATTAGTCAAGCACTTGGAAATAATACAAGACCATATGGGCCTTAAAAAGCATTGATTTTGTGCACAATGTGCTTAGAACTCTATTTCTATGATACCTTATAAGACTTGGAACAAGTGCATCATGCAATAAGGTCCTGGTTAATCAAATGACTGTCCACAAGGCCCATTCATAGCTAAATTTTGACTGAAAAATTCAAGTTTACTTCAATCCGAAATCTAGAGATACCTAGAAAGCTTGCACATCAGATGGAGGATACTACTTCAATATTGGTTACTTAGAAGAGATTAAAAATACTTAAATTGCAGAATTGACCTTAGCTACAAACTTTGAAAAAAAAATAACATCAAGAAAATAGCAGGCTCCTCAAATTAGCAGTCTCCTCCACAGTGAATGCTAATGAATCATTTCACAGCATACTTTTGCTCTCTTCATAACCGAGTGCCTACAGAACTTTGTAATTGCAACCTTGTGGCGCTTTTCTTTTTCTTTTTTCTTTTTTTCCAACAAAGAAAATCACTAGTAAAAAATATGACTAGGATTTTGATTTCCATCAAGAAATAAGAGATGAATAATGTACATAAGTTTTAATCGTTAATATTAGCCTGAACAGGTAACCCTTATGTGGTGGGGAAAGAGATTATGCTTTTTCTGTAAAAATAACATGCTCAAATTTACACAGAAAACTAGGGTTTAAACACCCAAGCAATCACAAAAACAAAACCCTTGTAAGATAGATAGCTTCAAGTTTGTACAGTTATTCCATAGTTGTCAGAGGGATAGGAGTTCGTTAATTATACTCCCATTAAAAAAAGCACTGAATCCCTCCTTCCATCCCAGGAATACCAAACAGTCCATGAAAAGACACCATTGAAGCGCAAAAGATCATGAGTTGAGCTTGAAAGAAACCTTTTTCTATCACCTTCTGATTCGAATAATTTTGGTTTTAAACTTCTTGAGAATTATATCTAGTGTTCTATGATCAATTTCACGGGCTGTGTCTTTAGATATAAGTTGACTTTTATGCTAATTAAAGGCCTCTCATCAACTTCTGAGCACGTCAAGCTTTAATCTGCCTGAGTTTTCAATTGTATTAAAACATAGGTGAACACAGTTACTACCTACTCAGCTTAGCTCGAATCTTAATAGCATTATTTGATAGATTTTGTAATATGCACAATAGTTGACTATATTGTTTCTTTATATTGTTCGACAATGGCAATAAGATTAGAGATTGGATACTTTAAAAAAAACAGGTGAAACATCAGAAAGTGTCAAATTAAACAAGCCAAAGGAATTGAAAAGCTCAAGATAGATTTTAACAAAAATGAGTGTCTAATCAAGAACTCAAGATAACTTCATCCAGTCCAGGGCCTTTTCTGTCTTGTGACATTTAGCATTTGGCATATGCTATGTAATATGCACAGTAGTTAATCGTACTACTTTCTTTATTTTGGTCAACAATAGCAGCTAGATTAAAGATTGATGTTTTGGATAAAAACAGGCAAACATCAAAAGGTGTCATTACACAAGCCAAAGGAATTGAAAAGCCCAAGATAAATCTGAGAAAAGCAGAGTGCCTAATCTTGAACAAGCTCAAGATAACTTGTTCCTGTCAAGGGCCACTTCTGTCAAAACAGATAGCTCTAAAAATGTAGGCTTTTCTATATCATAGGCAATCACAATAACTTATCCTCTAAAAGGGTATCTCAATAAATTATTGCCTTGAATATCAACTATATTCTACAGTGGCCATAGAATTTGACCTTCCTTTTCCCTAGAAACCCAGAACAAACGAGCTCACGACAAATGCTAGACTTCAAATATTGTCATAACAACAATAACTATAATCTCTGAGCGAATTTGCCGCTGGCTGTAAGTAGGAACTGCCCTAACAAAACTTTTTTTTTTGTTTTTTTTTGGGGGTGGGGGGGGGGTGGGGGGTGGGGTGGGGGGGATTGCTCTTTAGGTTTTCTAAATGCATGCCTGGCAATCTCTAAAATCTATTCATCAACCAGTAACCAATGCCAATCAACTAGAAAAGTAAACAAGGAAACTAGAGTTCATCACCTCACCCTAAAGCCCCCAAAATTCCATTGAAGCCTCCAATTCTTCCTTCAATCTCCATTAAATTTCAACAGGATTGTACAGGTAAGCACAGGATTTGACTCTCTTTTCCCCAGACCCAGAACGAACTAGCTCCCAACAAATACTAGTGCTTAAAAAATTTGTCATAATCAGAGCAGCTATAAGCTCTTCAATCGTTTCCGTAAAGCTTGCAGAAAAAAGAACTGATCTTTAGGTTCGTTGATTTAACGACTCCACACCAAGAAACCCTAGATCAATTCTCCCAACAAGTAATCAAACAAATCAACTACAAAAACAAAGGAAGAAAGAAATTAGATGTTGGCATCTCACCCTAAAGCCCTAGAAGTTCCATCGAAGCCGCCAGTTCTATCTTCAACCTCCATTAGATCGTTCAGAGAAGAAAACCTCGTAAACTAAATTCTGCAACCAAAAGAGAAATCAGTTTGACATAAAAATCGCAAGCATTGAGAGTAACCCTAACCCTAATCCAAAACCCAAAGAAGAAGGAAAAAAAACCCTAACGCTGACCTTTGAAGTCGATGGAGTGATTGATGCCCCAGGTGGCCGCCGCTTAAAACCAGAGGGAGAAAAAATGAATATAAATTTGGGAATGAGAATGAGAGGGCGTGGTTTTGTGGAGGTATTATGATTCTAGGGATTTAGCCGGGAAAAGTGGACCCGACCCGAAAGTGTATCAGTTAAATGGGTGGGTATTGGATCCAAAAGAATCCGAACCCGCTATGGAAAATATGGGAATTTTTATGTAGAGAGCACCTCCATGTAAAATCATATCGATACTAATTGCCTAAGAAGCCCCCTTTTATTTTCTATGAGCTTTATTTTCAGATTTCTGAATATACTCTTGTATTTGGAGAAAAAGAAAAATGCCCCAAGTTCAAACTAGATAAAAATCAATAGTGATGCCCTAAACCGGGGAAACTTCAAAATTAAAAAAATAAAAATAAAAAATGTATGTTCCCATATTTCTGCTACAACACTTCTCCATATTCCATGTCATGCATGTTTTGCGTGTACCAGAATACTTGTAGAGAATAAAGAGGACGATATATACGTATCATTACTAATTTTAAAGTTGGTGATTGCATTGATACATTATTCTGATTGTTCTGACGTTTTAACTGTTTCCACTAATATTTTGATTGTTTGGATTGGCATGTTATCATTGATATTGTAACTATTTTCACCGATAATATAGACATTTCTTTTCACTGATATTGTACTCGACATCATGCTTTATTTTACACTAATATATATTGTGCTTTATTTGCACGAATAGTATGCGCTTTCTGCAATGCAACTAAAATGCATTTGTATTGATAAATATGATTATATTGGTTCCACCGTGTTTTTGTTTTAAGCATCATATTAAGAAATGATCTCGGAATGAAGAGAGAAACAAAGAAAAGTAAAGAAAAAAAAGTGGGGGAACATGCTCCAGAAGATCGCGGAGTTCTGCAAGTCAGTTATAAATATAGTAAGCCTAAGCAAGAGAGAAAAAAAATCACATAGACGGTACTCTTAAAAGAATTATACAACAATAAAGAAGACATGTATTTTACAATCTATTTTTAGAAAAAGTACAAACAACTGAAAAATCATTATCGAAAAATACTGGAAGTTTTAGTTTGAATCTTGAATCATAGTGTTTCATCCTTTTTTGTTTCAACTACAAACTGAATTGCAAATATGAAAGCTGATCCTTAATTTGACAACAGCAACGACACCAAAGATTTTTTAAAAAAAAAGACATTTATTTTGTAATAGCTGAAAAGCAAAGATCACGCACTGCATTATTACATGTCGAAGATCAATGCCTAGCAACAAGCCATTAAGATCGAGAGAAGAGTAATAATGAATGTATAATACATCTTATTAAGAAGCCAATTAATCTTATCATATTCATTTACAGAACAACCAGAAGCCCTTCAAGTAAAGGAAATTTTCAGACATGGAACATCAGTACCCCTATGATAAAAATCATAGGATCAAACAATCTAGCACTTATATTTTAATTTCAATTTTATGCAACATGTCAAAATTTTCCTTGTAGCTGTTCATTTTAGAAAAACAAACAAAAAAAAAGTGAGCGGTTTTGGGTTTATAACAGAAGATCCAAAAGTGCAACTTTTGGAACCATCATCCAAGAACCCCTTATTTCAGTTTCAAGAAAGAAAGGACACATTTCTTAAATAACAATCTCTCTCTCTCTCTCTCTCTCTCTCTCTCTCTCTCTCTCTCTCTCTCTTCAGAGGTAATCAACCATGTCTAACTTAAATGCAAGAACTTAGAACTTTGTTGGCATCATCATCAGGTGGGTATGAGCAACCCTGCTGAGAAGCATGGAGAGTTCACCTGCAAGAAAACAGGACCCTTTTTAAATAAATGATTTGATCATCAGGAAAAAAAAAAACCAAAACCATTTTACTACTAGAAGCTCCAGAAATGTACATAGATTAAAAATTCACTGACCATAAGAACATCATTTTTCGATTTCATTAGCAAATACGAAATTGCAGGGAACATAACAGAGAAGATTGAACCATTTAACATTCTTTCACGTGCATCAAGGTTTACATGCACGTATGCATGAGTATCGGATAATGGTATGTATGATAATCAAACAGTATTTAAATGACCTGTTTAAGGTTCATACCTCATTGAAGTTGTTTCAAAAATATAAACAGGAAATATGAGATAAAGAAGCTTTTTTCGAGGAAAACGAATACAGCAATTATGCAAAAAAAAAAGAACTTACGATCCGTCGAACTGATATCATTTTTATTAACAATTTCAGTTTGATGTTTCAGCAGATACGCGAACACCTACTATTTAGCGCATCAATTAAATTAATAAGATATGCAATGAAGCAAACGTGAAAGAACATTGGATATGTAATCATATGAAGTCCTGTGAAATTTTGGAACTGGCCTGTGCTGAAATGACATTTTGAACGTCATACTAACAAGTCAAAACCTGAACTGGCCTATGCTGAAATGACATTTTGAACGCCATACTAACAAGTTAAAACCTAACTGCATAGATCGAGTCTTAGGAAAGAAACCAAATTAATAATTTAACCAAATATCCCTGACCTTGAATCAAATAACACAAATCTAAATCACTAACCCACCCCCCCAACCCCCCCCCCCAACCCCCCACCCCCACAACCGCGGGGGGAATATAAATCAGATCCTCCCATTCTCATCTAATTTGCTTCATCATCTATTAACACTTGCTGGTCAAAAAAAGGGGCATTCCCAAGGGTGAGGGGAGCGTTAGGTGAAGAGAAGAAGAAACCAAGTGAGATGGAAATGGAGGGGAAAATGGAAGTCAATATGTGTCCAGTGTGGGACAAAATGATGGATCCTGAATTAACGGGATTGATATTTGGTCATGACAAATGACCGCTGGTTCAGGTCTAAAAATTTGAACCCAACACGCCACAATTTAAGAAAGTTATCCGAAATGGATCGCACAAGGATTCGATTCATTTCAAACAGATGCTTTTCAACTTGATATTCGTTGGATTATTACATGAGATCAAAAATTCTAACAGGAAAAAAAAATGCTACTACACGAATAGCAAGACACTGGAGGGTAGACTGAAAGGCAAGACTCGTTTGCCACTGAAGGCAAACTCCAGTATTCGAGGCCTGTGCTCTCCTTCACGACTCCCTGGTCCTCTGTAGCATTGTGATTGCGGTGATCCACATCACCAACATCATCAATTCCCTCTTCAGCCTCAAGTACCTTCTTACCAGTCTCCTTGTCCTTTCTCCCTTAAGCTCATACGTGATGCCTCTCCCCACAACCATATCCTCTCCTCCACTAACGTCTCCTGTGAGCCTCGCTACAATCTGATTCACTCTCCAAAACCATTGTCCACTCCTCCATCCAGTTGCAGAAAGTGTCCGGTGGTGTTATAGAGCTCCACTAGATTGCGGACTGCCTACTTAGAGCATGTTTAGAGACATACTTATTTTCACTTAGAAGTATTGTTTTACTTATAACGTGTCAAGATCATGTTTGGTAAGGATTTACTTATAACTTACTTTTAACTTATAAGTAGGGGGGGAATACATTGGGATTCTCCCAACTTTTTTTGGCCATTTTTAGGTAGATTTACTTATTGATGTTAAAAGACTATTTCGCCCTCTAACAAAATAAGTAAAAATAAGTAATAAGTAACTTATAAGGAATCATAAAATAAGTAGTAGCCAAACATGCCCCTAATATATAATTACATATTTATTTAGTTTTACTCGTATTTACTACTTAAGACACTACTAGAATTAGGGTAGTACACCCCTAAGGAGGATAAAATTGTAAAAGTATCAATCTAGGTTTCAAATAAATTATACACACAACTGGGACAAAATCCTGATCAGCCAACGCCTCCAACCTCAATCACATACACATGGTCATGTTCGAAACTCATCCTCGCCTATAGCTGCATGGCACAAGTTCACTCTAGCTCCAGTGAAACTCCTTAAACCCCGACTCACAGCATGAACCTTCTGTTTGAGGGAGTAGTAACGAAGCCAAAAGCTTGACGCAGTGTTATCCTCCTGTAAGGATGGCTATAGTGAGTTGCCATTGGCCAATGTTGGAGAGTGATGGAAACAGGATCAATGTTGATTTGCCATTTGTGGTGGAAACTATGTTGGAGTATTCAGCAGTTACTCATGTAGCAGGGATATGTTCAAGTTCATCGTGCCTGGGTATTCAATTATTCATTAGGGTAAATTACGCTGTAGAGAGTATAGTATATGTTTTTTTATTTCATTTCCTGCGAATGCTATATATGCAAATGTGAAATTGTGCATGTACTGTTTCTTCTGTGAAGATTCTGATGCACTATTATGTCAATGCAGAGTGCAAAAAGTCTTGAAAATTGTAGAAGTTTAAAACAAACATGGGAAAATGAAGTAATCAGACAAACTATAACAGCAAAGTGGGAGAGATATGTCCAAAGTGACAAAGTCCAAACAAGAAAATTGAGGCCATAAAAAGCACATTCAGTACTTGACACGTATAGGAGAATACTCACAGTTAATTTGCAGCTACCGTTCTGTTCTCCTGCGAGGAGATATTTATATAGAAGGGTAAGTATGAAACAAACAACTTTCGTTAAGTAGTTACAGTTAACCACATTGTCCAACCAGACAGTGGATATTCTCCCACGTAAGGGAACTGTTATGCATGAATTTATACAAAAACATGAACCTCCACACTTCACAAAGTGTTTAAAGGCAATTCTAATATCCAGATAAATAGAAAGTCCCATGTGACGGGAAAAAAAGTTGAGAGCTTGCAGAATGCTTACTGAATAATAACTTGTGTTCTTTAACATCTTCATATGCAACTACTTAAGTTTGCTTTTAATCGTTCAATGTCCAGTTACAATTTCACTACGAACACAATCTATCCAACAATCTTTGCTCAAAAATATGATAAATCTTTTGATTCCTATAGCTGTAGAAAATAACATAGTATTGGACTTTGGAGCCCTTTTTCTTTTTTTGGGCATTGTTCTTTCCGCTTTTCTTGTGCAATTAAAACCTAACTAATAAACAAGCAAATGATAACAAACCAGAACCACAACTTAGTAAGGTCACAAAATGGCTGTTGCAACCAAGGCAAGTACGCAACAACAAGATCCTATTACTCAAAGACAAGAATATTTCATATTCCCCTTCGCCTTCTTGCCATGTGAGGCAAAAATGAAAACGTCGCGATGAACATGTGGATATAAACTAAGAAATAGGATGAGAAATTACTACAACACAAGGATTTAACGTGGTTCGGTCAGTATGACCTACGTCCACAGGCGAGAACAGCAGAGAACTTTACTAATCACAAAAAAGAATATTACAAAGGGGAGATCACTCTCTAACCAAAGAATCACACAAAGAAAGAGATTTCTCTTTCTCTCTCTTTTCTCTCTAACTCTCACTGTCTCGATGTTTAATCTTCATTCACTCTCACCTCCCCCTTTTATAGCTTTTAAAAATTAATTAAAAAATTAAACATGGTAGGTAAAACAGGAGCTGGAGTTGCAAAGATTGAAAAAAAAATGCCACAAGATTAGACAACCGCAAGATTAGACAGCCGCAAGATTAGGCAGCTACAATTGACTTTATTCAAGTCACTCTCACAAATCTCCACTTTGACTTGAATATGAAGATATTCTCTTTACTCTTGTTGTCTCGCCAAAAGCCCCTTACGGGCTTAACCTCCGCTTTGTCGAACTCCAAGCAATTCGAGATAATATTTGAACTTGCGCGAAGGTACGGGCTTCGTCATCATATATGTTGGATTATCTACAGTATTAATTTTCTCAATCTTGATGATTTTAATTTCTCTGATAAAATGATACCTGACATCTATATGTTTAGTTCTTTCGTGATACATCTAATGCTTCGTTAAATGTATAGCACTCTGGCTGTCACAAAATACCATTGTAACACATTGGTGTAAGCAGAGATCTTCAACTAAACCTCTTAACTAAATGGCTTCTTTCACTGCTTCTGTCACTATCATATACTTTGCCTCTGTGATAGATAAAGTAACGATCGACTGTAGAGTCGTCTTCTAACTAATGGCACTATCTGAAAGAGTGAATATATAACCTGTCAGGGATCGTCTCTTATCCAAATCGTCCGCATAATCTGAATCAGAATAGCCAAGTATTCTGCACTCTGAGTTTGTATTCCCGTCAAAATATAAACCAATATTAGCTAATACTCTCAAATATCTAAGTACTCATTTCATAGCCTGCCAATGAAGTTTTCCAGGCTTATCCATATACCGACTCACAACTGACTGTATGTGAAATATTTGGACGGGTGCAGACCATAACATACATAATGTTTCCAACTGTACTGGCATAAAGAACATAAGACATGTACTATTCCTCCTCAGTCTGAGGTGACAAATCTGCTGAAAGACAAAAATGAACAGCAAGCGGAGTTTTCACAGGCTTAATATTAAGCATGTCAAATCTTTCCAACACATTCTTGATGGTTTTTTTTCCTGAGATAGGAATAAACTTCCTTCTCGCCTATTCCTGTGAGTCTTCATCCCCAAAACCTTCTTTGCGGCTCCCAAGTCCTTCATCTCAAACTCATGTTTGAGTTAAAATTTCAACTCATTGATTGCTGACATATTTTTAGCTACAATCAACATGTCATCAACGTACAAAAGCAAATACATAAAAAAACCATCATTGAGCTTTTTAAGATAAACACAACTATCATATTTACTCCTAGAATAACTATACTCAAACATGAAAGTATCAAATCTCAAATTCCACTGTCTCGAAGACTGTCTCAAACCATAAAGAGATTTCTTTAACTTGCACACATGATCTTCTTTACCTTCAACAATAAAACCCTCTGGCTGACGCATAAATATCTGCTCCTCAAGCTCGCCATGTAGAATTTTTTTTTAAAAAAGCTCGCCATGTAGAAAAGCCCTCTTCACATCAAGTTGCTCAAGCTCCAAATTAATGCTCGTACCCTCGCGCAAGTTTGAACATTGTCTCGAATTGCTTAGAGTTCGACAAACCGGAGGTTAAGTCCTTAAGGGGCTTCTGACGAGATAGCAAGAGTGAAAAAAAGATCTTCATATTCAAGTCAAAGTGGAGATTTGTGAGAGTGTGACTTAAATAAATTCAAGGGTGGCTGCCTAATATTGCGACTGCCTAATCTTGTGGTATTTTTTTCAATCTTTACAACTCTAGCTCCTATTCTACCTACCATGTTTAATTTTTTATTAATTTTTAAAAGCTATAAAAAGGAAAGGTGAGAGTGAATGAAGATTAAGCATCGGGACAGTGAGAGTTAGAGAGAAGAGAGAGATAAAAAGAAAAATATCTTTTTTTGTGTGATTCTTTGGTTAAAAAGTAATCTCCTCTTTATAATCTTCTCTTTTGTGATTAGTTAAGTTCTCTGTTGTTCTCGCCCGTGGACGTAGGTCATACTGACTGAACCACGTTAAATTCTTGTATGTTATTCTCTTTGTCTTCACTGTGTTTATTCAGTGTTGTTATTCTTCACTCGTGTATAGACATCTTTCATGTCTGTGAAGCCACCACTGCAACAACATTGATGGGAAGTTAGTATTGTTCCTATTTGGGTTAAATGGACCAGAAATGTTGAGATGGTTTGATAATTGGCAAATGCAATAGAGACTACTAAATGCACCACTTAGGAGGAGCAACAAGATAATAGTTATTGGGGCTAAGAGGACCAAAAGTAGCCCTAAGAGAACTTGGTTGGAAGCAATCTATGTTACCGAGGTATTTCTATTAGGAAGTTGTACTCGTACCCGGCACGTACCCCTACCTAAACCTCTTGAACACTTCTTGAATATATGCATATGCTTACTGGAGCCCATACTCAATTATATAATACATGTTTAATATAAGACACTCGTCATACACTTCTTAGATGTATATTATACACTTCACATCTATTTCTTATATATTGATCTTATGTAAATGAAAAACAATATTGATCTTATGTAAATTATTAATTTTAATACATATAAATATACATAGCATGCACATATATGTGTGCATGTGTGGCCGTGTCCCCGTACCCTACCTTTTACAAATTTTTCGTGTCCGTACCCGTACCTCTACCTATAATTGTACCCGCACCCATGCAGCCTAGGAAGCAATTAAGAACGATCATGGTAAAGTTTAACTTAATGGACGTGATAATCCTTAATCAAACTGAACAAAGGAACAATATTTATGTAGCCGACCTTGAAAATTTAGAATAAAGTCATTCTTGTTGTTTCTTTGTGCATATGAACTTTTTTGTCCTATGGAACTTTCTCCTACACCAATTTAATCCTATTCTTGAACATCCAATTCCTAGAATTTTAAATACTTTCATCTAAATCCGGAAACAAAACAGCTTCATTCATCAAATACTAGATCCAGATTATAGATGGATCGATGGAGGGTTACCTGTAGTGTTCTTGAACAAAACGCGAGTTCTTAGCGTCCTCTTCTGCAAGATTCGGACAAGATTAGTCACAGAACAGACCAAAACAAATTACAAAATTACAAAATGAGAATGAGATCGGCGATTGAGATCAAACCAGTGAGGCCGGCGGTTAACTTGGTGATGAGGAGGCCGGTGATGGCGAATCCGGTGAGGAACGGCCAGTTGCGGTTCCACTCTCGCCTGAAGAACACCGGCCATGGATCGAACTTCCTCATCTCTCTCTGTTTGAGTTCTTCTCTTGATTTTTTTTTAACTTCCCTTTTCTGTAGATTTTGAGCTCTCTTTCCTAGCTTTCTTAAATTTGCATATAAATTTCTTTTTTAGGGATTTAATAGCTCACGAATTATTATTAGGATTGGAACTTTCAAATGCCTTTTTTATGAAAAGCTGCGAACTGATCGATATGATATTTGAAATTTTGGCTTAATAATTATCAATACATATGCAATATGAATATGAATATGAATGCAGTAAAAAATAAAAAAACATGAATTTGTATCTGATGTCAAATATGGAGTATGAATCCGATGGGCGAAAATAAATCTAGATGCATGTATAAATCAGCCTTAGATCCACTAATTTGAATATGATGTTGTATTTGTTTATTTTTTGCAGCTTTAAACCCGGGAAAAGGAAATATTTCTTTACCCAGTTTGAATCTTTAAGGGAGCATTTGACAACCGTCGCGTTTTTGTCATTTCTGTTTTTTTTCAACAAAAACAAAGAAACGCGTTTGGCAGCCGGGGCGTTGTTTTGATTTGTCCCTTTACAAAATCTAAAAATTAAACACTTTTCTCAAAACACCAAAAATGTGTTTTAAGATTCCGTTTTTTCATCTAAGTCGTCGCCAGCCTCGTGCGCACCGCTGCCGGAGGTCACCACCCGCCGATGCCGGACCCGCCGACTTGTATTGTCTGGCCGGTCGGCCAGGACACTGCCGCCCGTGGATTCCGGTGTCACGCCTCGCCGTCGGCCGGCACCGGCCGCCCGCTCCCCAGCCCACGTCGCCGACGCCCAGGCCAACCCTTCACCGCAGGGTCGTCTACCACCGCGACCGTCGCCTGGGTGGCCCACCGAGTCGGCGCTGTCGCCGCGCGCGCCCCGTCGGCCGACCACCGGCCCCACAGCCCGCCAGCCACTGCCCGGCCTGCCACGTGGGCCAACCCTGCCACCCGAGTACACCGCCACCGCCGGCCATCGCGCCACAGCACCAGCCGGGCGGCGACGTTCCGCCCGTCACGGTCAGTGCGCCTCCGGTACATCTCGCGCGGCTACCCAGCCGGTAGCCCGATACACTGTCGTTTTGTCCGCCGGCCCGTCGGCCGGCCAGCCCACCACGGCCACCGCCGCGGCCGCCGCTGCCCACTGTCTGCTATATAATGCCCTCAAACGTAGTTTGACCAAAATAATGTTGTTCAAAACACATTTGAAAAAAGAGACACCATGGCATGGTGTTTTTTTACAAAAACACAACAAAAAACACATTGATACAAACAACACCTAATTAACTTACTCTTTGCCTTTATCAGATGATTGGCATAAATACTAACATTTAATTTTTTGATAAAAGTAAATCTAAGGAGGGGTTGCTATGAAAAATATGATGTTTGCTTAAGAGAATTTAACTATTATAATTTTTTTAAGTCTTATCAATTTAGGTCTGTTTGGTTTAACAGAAGCACCGAAAGTAGAAAATAGAGAAAAGAAGAAACTTCTAAATTTATGAAATAAATAATAATTGAAGTAATATCTTTTTGTTTGTTTCACGTGTTTTTTTTAAGTAGTGGAAATAGTACTTCTCATTTTTCATCCTTTTCTTGAGTGGATAGCCAGGAAAGTTTGTTAGAAAGTAGCTGATAAAGGAATCTTAATAAGAAAAATTACCGAGTTCCTAATTAACGCACATTTCACATATTTTCGGACTAATTCCAAGCCTTGAGGGGCATAAAAATATTTAGGAAGTAGGTATGACATGTTTTTTAGAGAACAAACATATTTTCTGTTCAGAAGTAACAGAAGTAGCATCTACTTTCTTTATTTCAACTTCTTTATAATTAATTCTGTGCAATTATTGAGTTTTTTTTTTTTTTTGAAATAAAAACAATAGTATCAGAAGATTTTCGTTAGAAAAATATTTTGGCGAGTTTAATAATGATTTATTGTTTTTTTTCTATCAATTATCGGTAAAGAGTAAAACTAGCAAAATATGGACAACAACAGGAAACCTAAAGAAGGTTTACTACGGAAAATTGAAAAAATGATACTACTAACAAATAACATTTTTGTCATATAATTTCCGTGGACTCGTATCAAATGAATGACATTTATTTGGGAAAATTATACCAATAATGATATTCTCATGCCGATATATTATTCATGCGTTCTGAATGATTTAGACAATATTATACAGTTGATGCAACCAACAACTCTTTTATCATCTGCATTATATATTTTAATGAAGACCAAATCTCACTTCATTGAATTAATAATTTATTATTGTATAATCAAATTTTTAGTTACAAAGTATTTAAAGTTGTGTTCGGTCCAAACCAATCTAGAATTGAACAGTTTATACAATATCAAGTAGCTACAGTTCATTTTGATGCAACATTCTTCAAACTAGTCGTAATAGTACTACTTTGTTTAGTCCAAATTGTTTTTGCAATAATATTAGTAGAACACTTGTTCTTAAAACTGGGATCATTCTCCTTTCCTTGAATCGGGGTGTAAATAGAAAGAGAAAATATGTTTAAGAAGAAAGGGTATCTCTTCAAAGGGCATCGAACTTATCTGGACCCGCTGTGAGTTCTTAAGAAATAAAATTTAAAAACTTCTACGAAAAAAATTTCCTGTAAATTACTAGGCTCTTACATTCAAATAGACAACTTCTGTGAAAGCCCAGGCTAAGTCATAACAATACGTGTTAAAAAAACCGTGAAATTATTTAGTTCACTATAAATATAGTCTTACAGTTGAAATTCAGTGTGATTAACACACTTAAAAAGTATTTTACAATGAGAAGCATTCATATAGAGGCAGAGCAGCTTCGAAACCAATTTCTATAAATATTCTGTATCTTCTATATAAATATACATATATACGTACACATGTATATATATATATATACTATTACTAAAAGTTGTTACCCTTCAATTCGCCACTTGGCAAAAATACCACTTGGCAAAAATGGCCCATACCATTTTAAACAACACTTGGCAAACATATCAATTGCTATCTTCTTGTAAGTGCCACTTGTCAAGTTTCTACAAAAGTTCTCCATATTAAATTTGAAATAAAAAATAAAAAATAAAAAGTTCTCCTTGAGATTTGAACTAACTCTCCCTGCCTTTTCAATTTTCCAAACAAGATGCTTCGTAAACTGTTTGAACGCTTCGTAAGCTGTTTGAACTGTTTGTATTCTTTTGCTACATCAATTTTTGTATATTAAACAAATCCGTGCATTGCACGGCCCTGCGGGCCTGAAACTAGTATTTTATATTAATATTATATATATATATATATATATATATATATATATATATATATATATATGATATTATATATATTATATATATTATATATTTATATATATATAGATATATATAATATATATAATATATTCCTTATAATAATGGAGAATTAAGATTCACTATTCATGCTGCAGTAAATAAAAACGGTAAATTACTGTAGCACAGACAGAAGGATCCAAGATGCACTATTCATACTACAAATAAGTATTGTAGCACAAGTGGGAACGTTAGCGTTAAAAACATTGATGTTCCATTATCACTGTAGCTCAGGCGGAATATTGTTAGCATTTAAAAATGTTATTGTAGGCTTATAAAAGACTGTATTAAATACAGAATTACTGTAGAAAATAAAAAATAAAGATATATATATAGTATATATATATATATATATATATATATATAATATATATATATATATATATATATATATATATATATTATATATATATATATATGGTGTGTGTGTGTGGTGTGTGTGTGTGTGTGTGTGTGTGTGTGTGTTTGTTTGTTTTATGGTAATTCACCATCTAAAAACAAAGAATTCCAGAAACTGTCTTCATAAGCCCAAAAGAGCTATGGTCCAAACCAGCTTAGCGATCCAAAGCCCAGCCAAGAACGAATTTACTGACCCGCCGAGCGACGAGTCATCTTTACCGATACGAAGTGCGGGATCAGTCGACGCCTCATAATCAAGACAACTCCTCAAATATCCGGCTCAATCGTCTACTCGGCTATCTCCTCGGCCAGAAGCTCACTCAACTGTCTGGTCGGTAAACCATAGGGACGACTCAAAAACCAATCTGTCTCTATCGAGGAGATAAGATCCAACTAAGCTCCCTTCAGATATACATCAAACTACAGCATTGATCGATCCCATCAAGATCTCAACTCTGACAAGTCACAGGCATAAACAGCTCACTCCGTCACAAGTCACTTCCCAGATATCACTAAGATATCCTCCCATGTACTCGAATGACTTCCCTTCCAATCGTCTGTCGACATCTGTAAAGCAAAAAATAACTAAACAGCCAGCCTATCTTCCGCCATGCCTCATCTGTCAAAATCCGGGATATATTAGAAATATCCTCTCCTGTACTCGAATGACTTCCCCTCCATCGTCAACCAGCAACATCTGTAAGTGGAGATGACCTCAATAGCCTGTTCATTCACCCCCCCCCCCACCACCACCCCTGTGCATAGCATAAGCTCGGGTTTGGAATCTCATGGCGAAGGACTATAAAAGGGAGGAAGGAAGGTAAGGCGAGGGGGATCTGGATCTTCTTCTTATTCTTCTAATCTTAACTCTACTAAGAGGTTGGACCTTGGTTGAATTCAGGATGGTCATTTTTCCCCCTCTGATCAACTTTCTTTTTATTAATAACTCACAAAGAGTACCCCCTGTTAAGGACCTCAATGGTCCCGGGACTCTCTCAAACCCCACTCAAGCTCACCAGCTGACTTGACCGTTGGAGGTACCACGGGGGAACTGGCCCCGCGCTCTTACGAGTTCGTTTTTCTTGTTTGTGCAGAAGAATCAGGAATTCCAATCCAATGATCGGGCATAAAGTCGGAGGAGGAGTCGGCCTCATCTCTCATCCTCTCACTCTTCGTCATCCGCGGATAGCTCTCATCGACTGTGTGATCTCGGACATCAACAATATATATATATATATTTCTACTTTGTATTTTCTTGTTGTTTTAAACTTAAAGCTGAGATTCTATCTCAGGTGGGTTCCCATGGAAAAACATG